GAGTTTTGGGCATTATGTGGGGGTGCAGCCACATTTTTAGCCCACCACTCTGCATTGGATTCCCTCCACCAAACCACATCCTTAGCCTTGCATTTTTCATACTATATATTATTTTAATATTTGGTTGAATTCCATTTTAATCATATCTCATTTACCCTCTGTTTTTAAATAAATATATTTAAAATTATTTTCTTTTTATTTTAAAAAAATCTTAATTATTCGCACTCCATACTCAAATATCAAATATCTATAAGTCACAATGCATCACTACATCGACTACAAATATTAAATATTCTTAAATTCCTATAATAATTTTAAAAGTAGGGTACAGTTGGGTGAGTTGATCAGACCAAAAAATATCAATTCAAAATAAACCCATTTCAATTTTTATGGTTTGAGTTGGATAACCGAGATTAATTTGAATGATCTTACACATTCAAACACGAACAACAAATATTTAATATTTATACTTATTAAATAATATCCACAATTCAAACATCGAAAAAGTAGCTCAATTCCTTTTTCTAAATTTCTTTAAGTTCTCGTATCATGTCATATAAATTCATCTATAACAATTTTTAATCAAAGTCAAACGTAAAAGGTATAATAAAAATTTGTTAAAACTCGATAACACTAAATAAAAAAATTATCCAAACACATCATATAGACTAAAACAGATAGTTAGATTTAATTTGTTGTTAGCAAATTTTAAATTTAAGCAACAAAAGCTTAGACTTGGTCAATTTATAACCACACAAATATACAATAAACAAAGATAACAAAAAATAAATGATAATCATCGTTATGTTCATACTGTTCTTCCTTCAAAAATGAGAAAAAAATAATAAACAAATACGTTTTTGTGCAAAATTTTCAATAGCTTAAACTTGTAGAGAACAGTGTTTGATTTAAACATCTAATCCGAAAAAGGAAAAAAAAGGTGATCAAATCATGGTTGGCTGCTGCTTTTTCTATTCGACAGCCAAAAACTATATGATTGATATATAAACATATATAATATAATCTATCGTACCTATGTCGACATTTAGTAGTTTAATTATCAAATTCATTATGTCGATTTATCGAAAAACTAAAATTTATATGATACGTGTTGGTGTGTAAATTTAATTGAGTAAATACTTGTTTGTAACAGCTCAAACCCATCCCTAATATCGTCGTCAGCTTCATGATTTTTAAAACTCGTCTATTAGGGAGAGGTACTGATCGGGTCAATGGTTTGTAACGACTCAAACCCACTGCTAGCAGATATTGTATGCTTTGACCCGTTACGTATCACCGTTAGCCTCACGGTTTTTACAATGCATCTACTGAAGAGAGGTTTCCACACTATTATAAGTAATACCGACGAGAGGTTTTGAAAATGTTTGCTGAAACCACCCCACCTAAACGGTGGTAAAAGTTCTCTATCTATTATCATTTAAAGAAATATAGTAAATTACAAATAATATGGAAATAAATATAAAAGTAAAGAATAATAAATGAATACAATATATTTACCTTTAATAAAATGGCAAATATGGTAAGTCGTAACCCTTTATAATAAAGGGTCAACTATCTTTAAAGGTTTCCACACTTTTATAAGGTTTTTAAAATGTTTGGTGTCTAGCTCTGATATCATTTGTAACAGTCTAACCCACCGCTATCAGATATTGTCCGCTTTGACCTATTACGTATGACCATCATATAGAAACTTCATTACGTGAATGAATGAGATCTTGACTGCTTGGCATTTAACAATATTACATCAAAGTAGTATATGGCTCGATAGTATTACTTGCATATCTTTAATGATCGACTCATTAAGAAGAAATTTCATTACGTGAAAAATTATTACATTGTTCATACAATTAAAGTTGGTGTACAAAGCTAAAGCATCGAAAGCTATAGATAATCATCCGAGATTTTTGGCTCGGTGTCAAGCTCTCGGGTCGGTCGGTCGAGGCTTTTGAAATCACATATAATAACATTATGTAATGTACATAAATATTTTTAATTATTGACGGTGATAAAATATGGCGTTGATGTTGATGTCATATAGTTGAATATATGTAGTGGAATATTACCTAAAGATAGCTGAAGACGGAACCCACAAAAAAATAAATTACATTAAATTAAATTAATTAACACGCAACAATAAACATTAATGAAAACTGAGATTATAAATTATTATTATTTTAATAAATCTTTTTTTTTTTTTTTTTTTTTTTTTTTTTTTTTT